GTTTGCTGTACAATACTTGCAGAGAAAAAGACATAATACAAGCAATTAGATATTCCATTACCAAAAACTAGACTGTCCATTTTTAGATATAGCATTCCTAATATCTCTAGCTGGAAGGGATAATACTGAATAAAATTATTTCTTCTGGAAAAAAAGGAAACCAACCTCAGACTAACCTCCTGACAAGACCAAAATAAATCTCAGGATTTAAGCTTCCGCATATAACAAAGACACATCACTACAGTATGTCCACTTACTATAAATGTTCTGCTCAAAATTAGCCAATGAATTTGTCTTTAATTTGGAGATTCACTTGTCATTTAATTTTGGGATGTTACAACAATGCTATTGTATTTAAGTTTAAAGCAAGAAAATAATCTGAAATGAAGGGCAGCCTTGTCATTGTTATTTTCTTGACTCGGTTTGAATTTTTAATTGATTTTACAGAATCACTGGATAATATTCAAACTCTAGTGCTTTATCACATTTGAATTCTTCCTTTCCTCAGAGAATGAAAGAGGGCCAATCCCATTTTGTACAACCACTCTGTGATACAGAATATGAGGCACACTGGTTCTGTTTCCCACTTCATAAATAAGGGTCTCCTTACCAAATAATTCTGATTTTTCAGACAGCACAGTGGTGTCAGAACATGCACACCAAAAGAAAATCTAGCATATAAACATTACAATCTTGCTGTGAGTCAATATGGTCAGAATACAGAACATGCCCAGCGAAAACCATTGGCTTCCAAGATTTGACCAACAAAGCAGCTTTTTCATCACTTTGGATGATTAGAGCAACCATTGTTAGAGTAGGGAACTACTCCAGCTTATGCAATTCTGTAAGTACAGATGCTTTATCAAAATATATTGAATGTGCACAAGGTTCAAGTCTCCTTGCTATTGCTGGTTTTTGTAACCAGACAAAGGTTCCATCTGCTTTCACAAATTATTTGGATGTATGTTTGAATATCTTCACATCACAGACAAACACAGGGAGAAGAGTGAATATATGTTTGTTGTTCAGCTGCTTTCTTCCACCAAGCATTCAGCAAGGCAGACATTTGGTATCAAATTTGTAAAAATTACACTAAGGGAATCAGTTCTACTCATAGCTCACTCCCAAGACGTTCTGCAGAGATACTCCTCAAAGCAATGTACAGCATTTTTAAAATAAAACACTGGCAAAATAAAATGCTAATGCCTGGCATGAATCTGTATAAGAGTGATAGTTGGCCTGAAAGGAAGGAAAATAGGCTGAGTGAATGGGTTTTTAATAAAGATCACAAACAGCATCATTTAAAAAGTTCTTATTTTGCAATGGCAACACAAAAACCTACTAAACAAAACTCTTTCTTATTTAATCAGATGGAGACATCCTCAATACAAAAAAACAATCTAGTTTCTTTTCAGATCTCAAATGCACCTATGACAAATATGGTTAATCACTTTGCAATCATGTCATTTGAAAGAACAGAGCCCCAAATAAAGTTTACTGCCACACTGGAAAGCAGGAATACGAACCAAACCAGCAAGAATGTGAAAAGAGCTTGAACATGCCTCTGTAGCTCAAGCAACACTTTATAGTGTATGTACATTTATATAGTGGATATTTCCTCTGATGTTCCAGATCCATTTCATGCTCCAACATTTAGATATAGCTGAGCCACAACTGATCAGAAACTTATTTGCTAAGGGCTAAATTTTCTCACGTCTGCCATTCAAGGCAAAAGGTTCCTGTTAAATCCTCTGTTTTCTGTCCATATGTGCTCTAGTAGCAAACAGTCATTACATGGTGTTTTGACTCCCCTTTCCTCCAAAGGATTTTGATAAATGCACAAGGTACGCTCTGCATTTCATCTTCAAAAACAAGAGAGCTGGTGCCTAATCCAAGACTACTTGGTGAGTGTCATTCGAATCAAACTCTCTGTGGTCGAGATCCAACATTCTTTTACATCACATGGGAAACTCCCTAGCTCAAAGTTCAGCCCCTCAGGTTGCAACCCTATTATTCCAAAGTAACCTTCTCTGAATCCAGTGAGACTTTGTTCCAGATGAGCTAGCCAATCACTACCCTGTTTCTGCTCTCAGCAAAGGAGGAGTCTTTAAGAGTTACTTAACATAGATTAATTTAACATTCTCAGAGAAAGTGTTCCTGCCCCCCCACCCCGTTCTTCCAATGAATATTGAAAGAAGGGCTCAAAATTGGTCTAGAAATATTATAATTCACTAGTCACAAAGAAATCTTCCCATATAAACAAGTTCTAATCATGTCCTAAGAGTGGCAGGAAATGACTGGATCACTCAGTGAGTTAGACATCTGATTGCAGAGTCAGCGGCTGGATGTTTGATTCCCCACTTTGCCTCCTGGGAGAACAGTCAGCCTGTGTGGCCCCGGGAAAGCTGAACAGGGTGCAGGGTGCCCCCAGAAGAAGGGAATGGCAAGCCACTTCTGAGTACTCTCTACCTAAAAAACCTTGGACAAATTTGCCCTACGTCAGAATTGACAACATTATACAATAAAAAGAACGGCTGGAGGGTATTGCCCAAGTAGTGCCCATGTGTTAATTATTTAAAAAAATAAAATCTTCATATGCACAGAAGAGAAAGAGGAGAAGAAAAGAAGCTGGAAATTATATTCGTTCACCAAGAATTCATATATTTTAGATCAACATTATCTTTTGATCCCATCAGGTCAATATACAGTATAAAAGAAACCTTAAACTTCACTGCAAGCCAAGAGGTAAGGATACAGGCATGTATACATACAGTATGGTGCCAGTTCCCAGGGTGGGACAAACAGAACAGATAATAATGAACAAATGAAAAGCCTCCAAAAGATGGCAACAGTTCTCACAAGAGTACTGTAGCTAGATTTCTTCCAGACAATATCTGCAACAGAAAAGATCCAGGACAGGCTAGCTGATATTACAGTAAGGCATCCAGGTGGTCTTAGTTTTCATATCTTGAAGAGCAAGGAGCTAAGAGAACACATCCACAAGCGATTATCTAAAACAGATATTTCCCCAATAAGTGGGCATGAGAGACAGCACCAGATTAATTAGGACAGCTAAATCTACATTGTAAAAGCCTCCCACTAATCCAATGGCTCCTCAATTAACATTTTGTCCTTATGCTTATTAACCATTTCCCCTACAACCAGCTATTTTGAAATATCATGTGTCCTTTGAGGCACACAACTTGTTGGTGGGTGGGTGGCTATTAAAGTATGCTAAATAAAACCAGAAGGGGTTTTCATGGAAGGTGGCAAAAAGTGATTGTGATGTGCCTATAAGGGCTAGAAAGACTGGCGCTGAGGTAAAACATGTGAGCATTTGGAAATGAGGGACTCAATGTGACACAGTTCCACTTGGCTGTAATCAGCCACTCTTCCCAGGAATATCTACGCTTCTATTCAATTACGAAACTGTAGCAGACACAACAATTTTTTTTTGTCTTTTAAATTCCACATGATTCCAAATATAATCTTAGAACTGCAGAGCTGGAAGGGACCCTGTGGCTCTGCAGCCAGAAACCTAAACCACTGAGTTATCCAGCCATTCAAGTACTGTATGTTTCTGTTTGTTGCAGGATCAGCTTCACTGACAGATAAATTTATTAGCTCATAGTTATATCTAATTACTAGAAATGCTCATATAATGAGAATACCACATGGCAGTTTAAATTTTTTTTAAAGTCAGTGAAATCACAGGTTTTACAACATAATTTTCTTTTTAAAAAATAAGCCTAAATGGAATGTCCATGCATAGTGGCAGTTTATTTCTGAATACCAGATACTGGGGGAAAACAGTAAAAGGAGGCCATTACATCAATTCCTTCCTTGTGAGCCCCCAGAGACACGTGGCTGTCTACTTTCAGAAGTTCCCCATCACACAAATAGTCCAACATAGTAATCTGTGTATTCCATACAACGATTTTTGAACCGATCCCTTTGGTCGCCCTCTTATATACTCCCCAAGTAGCTTTACAAACACGCTGCAAGCACAACAAGGAGAGAGAGAAAAAACTTGCCACAAAGAGCTTAAGTGAAAAAGGCGCAGTCTTTTGAAAATGATACGGTCCGACAACCTAGGCTCCATCGCTACCTTTTTCCCTCGTGAATGCTCCTTCTTCTTCTTCTCTGCACCCTCCAAGAGGAAATCCCTTCCACGTTTCTCGCCACAACCCGGCTTATTACGAAGCCAACCTCTCTTGACCCCAAAGACACACAGAAGACCAGCTTTTCTTTTTCCATCCAGATCAGCGCTTCCTCCGCCCACCACCCTCTCCATCTCCCCTTTTTCCCTTCTCTGACAATGGCTGAACACCCCAGAGGAGCCCACCCCACCCCATCCCATCCCACCCTCTTTGTGCCTCAGGCCTTCTGCAGATCCTCTCCTGTCAGGAGAGAGGAACCGAGAGAGGGGCCCAGAAGGAGGAGGATCCCTCCTCCCTTAAAGAAAAGGGGGCCACTGGAGCATCATGGAGGGATGATGAGGCAAAGGAAGACCAGCCCTCCTGTAACCGGAGTCTCCAGGGGGCTTTCGCAGGTGCTGCTGCTGCTACTGATAATAATAATGATCCTCCCCCTCCTCAGCATCATCACAGGGCTGCTACCTTAAACACACACACAAACCTCCATCCCTTCTGTGGGGAATGCATAAGACAGGAACTGGGGCTCCGTGGGCGGTGGGAAGGCTCGCCCCTCTCCCTCAGAGAGGAAGCCCTCATAAGAACAATGATGATATTGAACAACTGGGTGCTTAGGGCCGTCGTTCCGCCCGCCCCCCTTTCTTCTTT